AAAACCCTCTGAACGTCTTCGCCGCATGCAATCCCCTACTTAGGGACCGCCAGATCGATGAGAAGTTGTTTAAGGCGATGTTTTTAGAACGTCTTTCTGCCGATGTCCAAACGATCCTGGCATCCGCTTCCGATGATCTAACGACTTCTAAGCTGGCGGAAATAGCGGACAGGGTGATTGAAGTGCAGCGCTTCCAGCCGCCCTGCATTGCCCTAATCTCTACATTCTCTTCGTCAGTGAATGAGCAGCTTGTGCAGCAGGTTTCAGCCTTGGCGACCGAGCTGGCCTCTCTGAAACTCTAGCTTTCCGTTTTGCCGGCCGTCGCTCATCCAGCCGTAATCGCTCTCGCTCGCAATCAAAAACAGCTGCGTTGTGCTGGTACCACACGAAGTTTTGTCCAAAGGCTCGCAAATGTTCTTCCCCTCTCCCTTCAAGCCTAAATCGGGAAACTCGCTAGCCAGAGAATAGACGCGGCCGTTTTCTCTGGCTCTCGCGGCTCTGGTCGCACCTTATATGTCTGTGACAGCGTCAGTCGCAGACGTTTTCTGGTGGACACCGGAGCTCAGCTATCAGTAATCCCCCCCAAGTCTAACCAATTGTCAATCTCCGAGTCTTGGTCTTCACCTTCAAGCTGTAAACTGCTCCTCCATCCCACCTTTTGGCAACCGGTTCCTCACCCTACACATTGGACCTCGAAGCTCCTTTTCCTGGATTTCCGTTATCGCCGATGTTCCCCACGCCATTCTTGGGTCAGACTTTCTTGCGGAATTAGAACGTTTGGTTGACCATCTCCGTCCTCTTCTTGTTGACCGCCTAACTGGTCTTTCCATTCACGGCCGCTCTCCCTTTGCGAACTCTTGCAATTTATCTGTCCTCGATACAGATATTGCCCGTCTTTTCCGGGAGTTACTTCGAAAGAATCCTAACATTATTAACTCCCAGCTTCGCACTGGTGATATTCATCATGATGTCGTTCACAACATCCGCATCTTAGGCCCTCATGTATTTGCTCGGCCTCGACGACCTGCTCCGGCCCGTTTGCGGGCCGCGAAGGCGGAATTCGAACACATGCTGCAACTCGGCATTATCCGAACGTCTGAGAGTCTCTGGGTTTCCCCCCTTCATATAATGCCCAAGGCTAAATCGGGCGACTGGAGACCCTGTGGCGATTATTGTGTGCTCAACAATGCCAGAATTTCAGATCAGTATTCCGCGCCCCATCTTCAGCATTTTGCTGGAGTCGTCTTTGGCAAACCGGTTTTCCCGAAGATACACCTGGTACCCCCCTTTCATCAGATACCGGTCGCCCCTGAGCACATTCCAAAGATTGCCGTTACTACCCCATTTGGCCTCTTCGAGTTCATTCGCACGTCCTTTGGCTTACGCAATGCCGCTCAAACGTTTCAGACGTTTATTGACCATGCTTTACGAGGCTTTCCATTTGTTTATGTCTACATCGATGACCACTTGGTGGCTAGTCGCACTG